ATAAGCAAACCTGTACGCCAGCCTACGCATAACCTACGCAGGGACTATTTTCCCATTAATACGCAGCCTAATTTCTGCATAGTCGATACGCCACACTACGGAACTCTACGCAGTTCCAGTGGCTTAAAGAATAATTACCGGTACAGTTGGATCGTTTTTTTAATTCTTATATAAGGCCAAATTAAAAAAAAAACATTTTTAGTATCCTGTTTTTTCGAAAAATGGGAAGGAGGAGGCCCTTTTTTTTTTCTTTCAAAATGGCCGCTCCGTACATTTTTCCCTGACATTCGGGCTATTTTTCAAGATGGCGGCCGACAATTTTTTTTTTTCTTATTTAAAATCAGAAATACATTTTAGCAGTGCTTTTCATGTTTTTTTTCTTTCAAAAAAAAAAATAAATAAATAAAAAAAAAAAAAAAAAAAAAAAATAGGAGGCGGCCCCCCAAAAAGGAAGCAGGCGGGGACGCTGTTTTTTTTTCTTTCAAAAAAAAAAAATAGGAGGCGGCCCCCAAAAAGGAAGCGGGCGGGGACGCTAAACATGTATATTTTTTTAATGGCCTGAATGGCAAATAAAGTTCTTGGTGGTTTTAATTTAGACAGTCTCTATATATCTATTTACACCCCCCCCCCCCACCCACCTCTAGAATCCCGCGGATTTCCGCGGGTCCTGCTAGTGTAATAAGGATCATTTATCATTTATGAATCATTTATTCATGTTCATTCTCATCTTTGATCATTATGTAATCTCCGTGCAATATTCTCATTTACCATTTATGCACTTTTATTCTGAGTCATCGACTTCATCGACTTGTATTTGGCTACACTTTGCAAGTGTACGGCCAGCCTCATCAGTACCCAATAAACATAACTAAAAGGGAATACTTTCTTTCATGTATTTCATTGTCAGTGCAACCTTGCTTCCTCGTAGCTAAATTAAAAATAAGAGTTATGTTGTGTGACGAGTGAACACGCTTTCAAATATCCATTCACAATACCCCACACATTCATAATCTCTACACAATCTTACCAGCTATTTCAGATAATTTACTTCATACAACGCCTACTAAGATTCTTGCAACCTCATTGGTCTATTCTTGATCACATGACATGCGCTAAAAGTACCATTGAACGGCATCATTCTCCAGCCGTGCAACTCCAGTTGATCCTTTCGCACCATTGCACTCCGACGTTACTAACGATGTACAAAGTATATTGTGAGCTAAGTGAAGTCACCGTGCAATGGTGCGAATGGATCGACAGAAATTACACTCCGCGTAACAATAAACATAAAGCATATTTATGTATTACAGATATCAGATTATATTTTGTATTTATTTTGTATTTATTAGACAACTTCATTATTAAACATTGATATTTTTATGAGTTGCCATCCAGAAGCCTTTGTTTTTCTCGTGAGTCTCTGTTTTCGTAAATTTTCGGCTTGTGCATCTTTGGATCTGCGAACCTTCTTTAGAGTAATTTAGGAGATTCATTAGAAGAAAAAAATTCGTGGAAAATCGACTCGTTGAATTCTTGGAGATTTGGTCTCACGAAACTTTGTATTGTGACATGTCACCCAACTGTTAATTTATTCTTTCTACCCTACTACCTCAGTCATACCGGAGAGACAGACACCAATCCGACAATAGACCGAATAACAAACAAAACTGTTTTGAAGATCTAAAATTTCGATGTGACTGGGGGAGGGGGTATTAGTTTAATGTGTGCGACTAGTGACCAGACCCAAACGGGTGAAAGAATCCATTGGCAATGTTGGAAGACAGTTAGTTTTATCTGTACGCGAGTACTAGTATCATTCAGTAATGTCAACTCCTTCGTATTCGTTGCCTTTACTCGTCTTCCGCCATCTTTCCAACTGCCATGCTCTAGTTTTCTCTCCCCAGACCAGGGGCGGCGCCAGGATTTTTTAAGGAGTCGAGGTCCAATAACAACAAACAATAGTTGAAGATACAAATGGAGTTCCAATTTTTAAAAATGTTACAGAAGAAGAAGAAAAGGGGAAAGGTTGTGTGGCATAGTCATGGGTCTGAATAAAAATATTTTTTGGAAAGTAAAGAAATGTGTCAAGGTTGCTAGTCTCCCTTGCCCGAACATTCAGAATAGCTCTGGTAGTAGTCCAGCCATACCGTTTCCGTGTCGCGCGTCTAATAAGCTGATGAAATAACACACCCTCAACGTTGAAAGTAGACCTTGCCATTCCTCTCATTCTGTATTTGCCGTTTTTTGTTTGTTTTTTTGTTGTGGTTGCTTTTTTTTTGGGGGGGGGGGTCGGGCGATGAGTTGAGACACCGCGCTGTGTTCGTGGTACATAGTGGGATCGATGTGTGTGGTAGAAGAGTACAAGTTAAAAACGGGACATAATATGGTCTACTCTGGTAGCTGCTAATATAGCTATTTCACTGGAGCCCGAAAAATCGGCAGGTCTGTTTTGACATCAGATGTGTCAGAGGGGCACTCATTTTAGGAGGGGTTGAGCAATGAGCAATTTGCAGCCCATAGGTTCATTCATTTTTATTTTTTATTACCAACCAATACATGATTCCGACGTCATTAAATTGTTCTTGAAATACAATGAAGTTTGAATAGCTTATAAAAATAATACTCAATAAACCCTGCTCTTTCTTCACTTGGACTGGCATGGACATTGCACTCATTATATGCGTTTGGACGAGAAACATAAAGTAGATGTATTATATTTAAATCGATATGAGTCAAAGTAATAAGAGGAAAGGCAGAAAATATCACTCAGCTGCGGATTTTCAAACAGATGCCCCATTCTACTTTGTTTCGCCACCCACTTGTTTAATCAACACCCCCACCCCTTCCCTTTTTTGCAGGCCTCCTCCCAAACACGAACAAAGCCCCCTCCCCCCCCCCCCACAGCTTGATTTCCTCTCTGAAATACACAAATCACTTGGCTTATAAACCCCCCCCCCCCCGCCGCCTTTACGAAAGCAAGGCCAGCATACGCCAACTAAAAATCGTTGATCAGCAGAACTAAGAACTTTTTGAAGTCCGTTAACCTTGATTGGTTCAAATACCTTCCGAATAGTTCCTTGTATATCCGATAAGACCGGATATGTGTCATAGCCGAGTCTCCGTTTCACAATGATATCTATCATTTCGCTCCATCCCACACATTCAAAAGATTTTTTCAAAGAGGTGCGTTATCTGTTAGAATCATGAAATATATGACAGCTAGACTAATGTCTAACAAAGTGAAAACTCGTCCTTGAAAACAAAAACAGAATATATACAATTTTTGCTCTGAAATCAGGTCTGTTTATCTCATATTGACATTTCGATGATAAACACACGCATGTTTAAAACGATTAAAACGAAAACCCCATATTGAAGAAAACAAATCAGAAGTTACAATGATATTCAGTTTGACCAGCATTTTTCTTTGTTTCAGTTTATCATAAAAATAAAAATAAAAGTTGCGTATTACATCACTATTGTGCTTTAAATAATACTCATTTGTTATGAAGAACATAAAGTAGTATTAATTTAATTTCAAACACTTCATCGAAGGAGGACATGGAAATATTTATAATTACACACAAATTCGTGCTGTTGAAAAGGGCAAAAATATATTTCTCTGTTTACTTTTTGTTTCAAATAAACAATATGAACATTACAAAATATACAAGCTGATAAACACACATACTTTGAAGACAACATAGAATATATACATAAAACTGGAAGTGCTAGTTTTAAACAATACGGAATACAATAAAAGTAATATAATTTGTGTTAATAGCAATGTGTTTATTAAAAAGAGACATTGGCAATCGTCGAATTTGCTTGACAAAAATGTTCGAGGGTATTCATTTTTCTTTGAATTAAATTGACACTCGACGAGTTTGCTAGACACATATGCAGTGTTATTTCTTTGAAAATAAATGTCTTTGTTTTGTGTTCTGTTTCGATATCATACACAAGCGACCAGGCTATACAGATGTAGCTAATGATTCTTTACAGCCACAAGTGGTCACTAAGTTTGGCTACCATCATTGTGGCATATAGTATTGATGACAATAGTCACCCGAAAGCATATATATAGTACATCAGTGTATAACGACATTACGTACATGTATAAAGGAGACTCAGACAAATTATGTATATCCACGTGCGGATAATAACTTATAGAAAAAGCTGTATAGTCCATCTAGAATTACGTTTTCGGTTCCCTGACATTTCTTCTCTCGAGTCCTTAGGACGATTTTGTTTTTTGTTTTATTTTATTTCTGCATTTGTCAACGTAGTAAGCATAATATACAAACTAGGTACATATACATGTATATATAAAAGTCACCATACATTATATATAATAATTTCATAATATAAAACTATTAAATAATCATACATAAAAAAAACAACATAGGCCTAGTTGACAAATCATTTCAAAATTGAAAAATGTAGGAGGCCACCATCTTAAACTAACGTGGTGGCGGCCTCAGGAAAAAAAACTATGGGCGACCAAACTTGTAATATATATGATCAGAAATAATCTGATTATCTTCACGCCGATGGCTTGATTTCCCAGTCACTATCTTTATTGATACAAGCTGCATGAACTTTTCTAGTTTTAGTAAACCAGTTGCGCTCTCTATTTATTTTTTGTCTCCATTTCAATACGTTGCAGTGGTAAACACTTCATTGTAAACGCACATTATCCCCGTGTCGTATACATTACAAATTAATCAAAGAAAACACATGTATATGTGGAGATTCGTGTGTTCAGTTGAACGGAACGGACAACGTTACAGTCGGGTAAGCATGCGTCATTTCGGTTGCGCTATTCCCTGCGCTAATCCAGCATAGGAAGGTAATTCGCTCGTAAATCAGTATATCAAAGCAGGTGGATTCACATCTTGTACCATATCACCCCACATGACGCGTCAAAATTGCGTCAGTCGTCGACGCACTCTTGCGTCAGGCAATTGACGCTTCATAAACAACGGGCATTACAAAAGCGTCACATTTTCCGCGTGCAGAGGCTGTATTCTACGGTACAGGTCTCACTTTCATCTCGGCCAATTTCAGCGAGCCACGGAAGCCTCCGAACTCGAACCATGTAACGCCAGCGGCAAACTCATCGTTTTCGGGGCCGAGGTAGAGACCGTTGAGGTTGCTGTAGAGACAGCCGTTGTACCACCAGCCCCCCTGGGAGTAGAGTTGGGCACAGTTCTTCTTGGCGAGATCGTTGTCCCGGTCAGTGGTGGTAAAAGGCATGTGGTTGTGGTAGCTCAGCGAATCACCTGGTGAGAAGAAGAACAAATGTTGGTTGTACTTCATCAATGTCTTGTAGGGCATTTTAATGTATTTGAAGGCACTAACATTAATTTTGATGATCACATAAGTAATGTCTTTGATTAAAGAATTCGGTGTGTATTCGTCACGTTTTCTTAACACTAATGTGTCTTTGATTCATGCTGTCAGTATGGTACATGTAAGTGGTTGAATTAAACAAATAACATGTAATTTTTAAGCTACACGATCATGCCTTCGATTGTGGAATAATAGATTGAATATCAATTCGAATGCGAAACTTGTGGTGATATTTACAAGGATTTGATTGGAAAATCTAAAAAAGTTTCCCCTTTCTATAGTAAATACTTCAAGGTAACACGATACTTCATAACACTTGACTAGACTGGGAATTAAAGCGATTTATGAACTTGGAGCTCCAAGTCCGAAGCTGTAAAATATGAACAGATTCAACTTCACGGAACACTGATTGGAATTTCTCCAACATTCGAGATCTTTTACGAATGGAAAAACAAAATCGCACGAATTATTTTCATCTCGATCAGAATTAAATCATCATTTTTATATTTCGGCCAAATGTATTACCTGCTGAACCATTGGCCTTGAACGAGCCGACGAGCAGGCGATAATTACTCCGGTAATCACTGACCATCATGCTCTCGTACTCCGCCGTCGCTTTCGTTCCGTTGTAGTCTTGGAGATCGATCCGTAGTTCGTAGTCGTCCTGCGACGTCAGTCGACTCATCTTGTCCAGGCCCATCCAGAACTCGGTCAGGAGGTTGCCGAATCCTCGACGGTACGCGCCCCAGAGCCGGGCGAAACTGACCTCGCCGTTCAATCGACGTTGAATGACCTAAATATGATTTTGGAAAAATATGGGATTGATATACTTTCTTTGAATGAAAAATAAAAAGTTTTTAACTGCATCACTGTGCAGTGTTCTCCTTATCGTGATTGTTTCTCACGTTATAAAGCTATGCTGTGACTTTTGAGATTCCCCCATCCTGCCTCTAGCAGTATAAGGTATCGCTCGTAGATATATCACATCACTCTCAAAACGTGTCCAAATTATAAAGAAAATTTTACGTCATTATGAAGTGAAATATTTACTGTACATGATGTAGTGTTATGGTGCTCTACCATTATACGCGTTACTAGGAATTGATCACAGACAAGGTATATTAAACAATCTTCAAACTGGTTCAAGTCCACAATCAGTCATATCTCATGATAATTTGCAACATTCGGGACCCTAGATGATAACGCTCAACAAAACAGGGAACTTTTGAACAAAAAGAACACATTCAGAACTTATTAATGTTTTGAACGTCATCTTGTCATAAGGGGGAAATAACATTATGAAATGATTAAGAATAAGGCTAGATTGAATCCTTTCATCAGAGAATTTCATTGTATTACAAAATAAAGTTTCTTATTTCTAAATATGCTGCCTCCCTTCATTTGAATGTGTGAGTCTTCATAATTGCTGTGCCCCCTTCGACAGTTCAAAACAAAAGAAAGACATCGAGGAAATTATCTTACCGTCCAGCCGCCCCCGCTGGTTGCCATATCACAGAAGACCTGAAAAGGCTGCCCACACCCATCTGGCAGAATGGTATAGACCCCGGTCACGTTACCCACTTGTTGCTGTACTTCCAAGCAGTCTCGTGGAATCACATCGGGCGGTTCCATTATTACGAGGTGAACCCCTTCCAGGAGGGAGGGAGGGGTCTCGATGTCTGGCCTGCCATTGTCACGATCACTCTTTCTGTCTTTCTCGATTTCGGTGATAATGTCTTCGATGGAGGAGGAAGAAGTTGCAGACAAAGCCGCATCGTCTGATGACGACATAATGTGTGTCCTAGGTGACGTAGGCGATACTGAAAGTAGATTTATTTCGACAAAAATTGATGAGAGGGTCATCAACCTCAAGATAAGATAATCATGATTATGGGATGTATTTGTTTGATATAACATCTTTTAAAATTCTTTTTAGAGAGAAGAGATGACTATGATCTCAGACAGAAGAAACATACACTGTATTGACTGCATCGTTGATTTGATTGATTGATTGATTTGATTGATTGAATGAGTGATAGATTGATTGATTGATCGATTGATATTCATTTATTTTTCATACACATCATCAGAAAAATATTGTTATCATAGTCACATAAAATATTCCATTGACAAAAGTTGTCGTCATAAGAAAGATTGATCTGACGTCCTCTTTGTAAGAAAAAATAATGATCATACAATATATATATAGGTATAAAATATATATGTATACATATGTAAACAATGCACGTAAACAATGCAACTGGAAAAGCGGTTGGCCAACAAATTAATGATGAGAGAGAATGACAGAAGGTAAAGGGGGAAGGAGAAGGAAGGGTAGAACAAAAGTAGAGTTCGCAGATTTCATAATGTGGCTAAACCTATGAAGGTAGAACACAATTTTGAGTGCCTTCATTGTTAAAAATCAAGTTGAGTGTTTCACTACTGGATATCGCCCCCCTCCCCCCCCCCCGATTACAGGTGTTTGGTTTTAACTATACAATTTGGTTTCCATGAACAAACACTTTTATATATCAACCACTTTCAATGATGAAAATATTCATGTTAGGAAGTCCGGAACGGGAACATGTACATGTAGTCTAAACAGGAAAACGATTTGTCCTGCCGGGTCAATGAGCCTAACCAATATTCACATCTTGAACGTGTTGAAGTTGCTACAGACGATATTTGATTGTCGATGTAATCATTAGGAGTCAATAATGAATGCAAAGACTTTTCCTTTTTTATTAATTATATCAAAATTTATGTTAGTGTATTAAAGACAGGATTTGTAGAGTTGTTCTTCTTTACCGCTTCAACCAGATTATTAGAAACTCTTTGCTTTAACTTTAGTTGATAAGGTATCCATTCTCACCATATGTGTCGGCGTGGTTCGTATCGCGCAGGCTCGCTAGCCCGTCAACAGCGACTTGGAGCTTTCTAACTGTCTTGACGTGGACACCGACGGCGAAGGCGGTGTCGATACACACATCCTTAGTCTCTCTCACCTCGTCAATGACCAGCTGCAGGGCTTCGCATCCGCACCCGATGTCAGGTTTCGTCATCGCCGTCGACGGTAGGACATCACCGATGTCGGTTTTCGTTGACAACTTCACTTGCGGGTCGACGTCGGAATCATCATCGACGTTTTCAACCAGGATGTTGGGATCTGATGACGAGCTGAAACTGGCAGGCGATGATAACGTCGATGATATGATGACGGATGTGATGACGAGAATAATGAAAAAGTGGGGAAACCTAACATCTGCCCAGTGTCCCGAGGGATGATTATGACTAGCCATGGTGTCCTAATGATAACAGATTCACCTACCAAATAGACTGAAACGTCAATCTGATGGTTCCACTGTGGCCTATCAAAACTGGTCTTGTCAAGTCATCATCCGAATGAGTTGTCTGAAGTTTTAAAGCAACACAAAAGCGTTCTGCCGTGTATTATCCGATCAGTCAGTTCGTACTTCGTTCCTTGTGTTTGTTCGTTTCCTTCGTTCAGTCGTTCGTGTGTTCCTGTTCTTGCCAACTCATCCAGTCACCTCTCCATCATCATGCTCAGTGGCACAGACGGTGATTAAACATCAGTTTATCGTGACATCACTGGAATGACCCACACCTTCATCCACTGACTTCTGAGAAAGCAGACAGTGACGTCCAGAATCAAACCATGGACTTTACCACACCATAAATGTCGACGCATGGAGGTTCAGCATCGCATGTCCCTCTGTCAATAAAACGCACCCGTTTAGTCAGTCATCGTCCACAACCTTTGCTTGTCTCGACACCAGGTGTAATGAACGACCAGACGTTTACCTGCCACCATGACCCCCACGAGGAAACGAGCGCGCTCTGTCACCAGGTACTCGACTCCAAAAAGGGCTAAGCAAAGTGGTAGTTAGTACAGAGTGGGTGGATTCAGTTAACCCTTCTGCTACCATAATCTGGATACATTGTCTTTATAAGGCCTGTCCTCATCAGCTCGAGATTTCCAAATAACTCGCTATTTCTAATTTGGGAAATAATCCTGATGTTACAAATCGCGACTCGATCTCGAGAAATTAGCTCGAGATATTTTGCTCAGTGTTCGCGCATAGTGCAAGTCTTCGGGCTGGTGAAGACGCACTGGACAAACAGCGAGATATTTTGCGAACTAGCCCAAGATATTTTGGGATGATTATCTCGACCAAATATCCCGCTGATTGCAATTACGGCTGATGAAGGCGCAAATTAGCTCGATAACTTGCGATTGGGATAGTTAAAATAGCGGGATATTTGGCTATCTCGAGCTGATGAAAACAAGCTTTATGTGTAGAGTTTCCTTCTGTGGTAATTGGAGGGTTCAGTAAGCCAAGAGTTTGCGGTTCAGACAGGAAAAGATATTCGACGGAAGACAATTCGGTCTAAAATATTTCCGGTTCTCTTCGGTGTCTGTGGAATATTTCAAGAACATGCCTTGATGATTGTGTCTAAAAGAGGTGTGCGTTCACGTGTGCGATCACATGTGCAGAGTTTGGGAAGCGGGAAAGCCTAGTGACCAGGCTCCAGCTGACATGGGGGAGGGGGGCACACCCCCCCCCCCCTCATTCGAATGGCGAGAACAAAATATAGAGAAAACGAGAGAAATGAATTGAAAGCTGGAAGGTGACGGGAAACAAGGATGATAGAACCCATCCCACATCCTTCCCTAAAACAGCGGCTTTGTTTATTTGTTTATTCACTTTTTTATTCACCGAATAAGGACGATGACCTCCCCCCCCCCCCCCCCCGCCCTTGATTGAGAGTACCATAGTTCACTAGCTACATGTACCACTACAGATAGAGGGGTGCGTTTCGACCGGAAACAGAGTTTTCGTATTAAACAATACATGAGACGTGTCCATGTCAATGACCTTGGCCTTGATCGAGTAAGGCCTGTATGCCGACTCGTCTCTAGGATATGAATTATGGCTGTAAAATATATCCATCAACCTTGACCTGATGACCTGAAAACATCGACAATGAGAACAGAAATTGTTGACAATAGTCATGCTGTTACGTCAAGAAGAAAAATGCCCAGTATTCATATTTTGTGATAAGTTTTGTCCTTCAAATCATTCCAAGTGTCCACCTCAAGTGTTTTCCCTCAAACCTAGAAAAAAATACCCTTAATATATATATATATATTCCATCATGTTTTAAACTGACCCGTTCTGCAGGTCTGACCTCACCAGATTTCGCGGTCCATGGAATGCGGTATCCCACAATATATGACATTTTACATTTCATACAATATAACATATCTGTACATCGGCGTGACAAGAAAACCTGATTGAGCCTGAGATATCAAACGGTATGGACATCGGAAAGTTGTTAAATATACACTGTATACGGACACACTCGTCAAAGTGTTTCGGCGCGGTGGAAGTGGATTGTGGGAGTTTGGGTACTACCGACTGGCTGAAAACTCCATGCCAGACTGCGCATCCGGCATGTCATCACCATGACAACGGACTGCCAACAAATTATATCGTCTGCATCAGGCAAAAGCTGTTTCAAGCATCTTACCGTTGAGGATGCGGCGTCCCCCCTCTTTTCTCTCTTTATCTCTCTGTCTCTCTCTCTCTCTTTCTCTCTCTCTCTCTCTCTCTCTCTTTCTCTCTCTCTTTCTCTCTCACTCACTCTCTCTCTCTTTCTCCACTCTCTCTCTCTATTTCCACATCTCTCTCTCTCTCTCTCTCTCTCTCTCTCGTCTCTTTGTCTCTCTTTCTCTATCTCTCTCGATTTATTTGTAGGGCAACAAAGTTGGAATTGTTTTGGGACAACATAAGATTAAAAAAACAAAACAATCATCAACAAAAAAAACTTGAACTGAAAGAATTTTTAAAGGTTCATAACATGTAAGGATGACTCAGTTATTTAAAAAAATAAAATAATCCTGCGCTCCATTCTGTGTTGCATTCGTAGAATATCTAGCGCCACCTTGTACTTTCTAAAGGACAGAGGTTTACACGCCTAGGCCGCCACATTATGTTTCTGAAGGTATACGTCGACATGTTCCACATTATTTGTGATTACTCAGAATGCTTTTGATGATTTGATCCAAATCATGTATTCATTATCAACGCATGACAACGATCCATCCAAAAGAATACTTTAGAATATACCAGATGCATATTATATCATCTATCATTTATTGAGCAATGTGTGCACCATCTCCACTCCATGCGACGTATTTCTTTTCTCTCATATGTTGATTTAGGTTACGATCGCTTTATATACTACGTATACATTGTAGATCTTTAATTTCCTCCTTTGTGGGGAGTTGCAAATGTAGTGTGTGTCTTTCTAAATGTTGTTGTAGGAGCCACATTCGAGACCTTCATAGTTACAGTGAAGTGTTCAAGGCACTTAACTGGAAGACAGACTTCGGTAAATGTGTATCATTTGATCAATTCCCCAAGAAAATTTGATACTGCAAATGTTCCATCGTGTCAAATGGGGAGCCTCTCATGACACAATCTCCTAGATTACACATCACTTTTTGTCCGGGCTTGGGATGATTGGTATACTTTGTCATGCATAAGTTAAACATTTTATACATTCCTTTTATAGTTCACACTAAAATATGATATTGAACCTTTGATATATATGCACATTTATCCACCTAAGAGGACTCTGAAGAAGATCTATAATGTATATGTAGTGTATTAAAGCCATTATAACATAAATGGGAGAAATACTCCATGTGGAGATGGTGCATACGTTGTGTGCATACAGTGAATATGATGACGATAGCAACATATACATCAATCAATAATTATGTGAGGAGTTTAATACCAACATGTAGGTCTCAATGCCAAACTGTTTCAAAGCGACTCTAAACAGACTGATCATTGGCGTAAAGGGGTTATGTGGTCAGTCGGCCTTAGCGTGTTTACATCTGCTCTAGATGAGATCATTGAACTAAAATGCAGCCAATCCTTGACAGTAATTCATTTCCATAAAGTATGAACAACAAAATATATGTCACTTGCTTTGGCAAAACCCCAAACTACTCATAAGTTTTGATGTTAGAAACGGAACTAACAAACTACCGCAACTAACAGGTTTATACTTTTAAAAGGAGAAAAATATGCAATCGGAGTGACATTTCCCGGAACGTTAAAAACCTCCCCACCTTTTACGAACCATATTAAGCATCGCTCAAGTTTATTCACTATATATCAGTTTCACACTTGAGGTTTCTGCATTTCCTACATTTCAGCGCCAAAATGCGGACGGGTTTTTATTGAATTGCGGCACAAAGGAGGCTCTTAAAAGCATTGAGGTTCGGTTAAATGTGGCCGTTTTCCGCCGAAAAAAATACAGAAAGAGCGGCCGCTCCATCAGAATGCAAATGTATACGTCGCGACTCGGGGTAAAAGGACAACGAACTAATATCATTATCGTTCTGCGAGAAAATGAGAAGAGTATAGCTATCCCCGGGTACGCACGACTTTCCTGGATCTTAAAGCCCAGAATGGGGATATGAATTAGGTTATCAAAAAGACAGTGAACGTTGCATACAAATGACTTGGAAACTCTCGTCATTATACAATTAAAACACAAGCAAAATGTAATTTACATACATACAGGGGGTTATCCTGTTCAAGCTGACTTATTTTTGATCTGTTATTATTGTATATTGTTGTATGTTGGAAGCTTGTCGAATAAAAATCAATCAATCAATCAATCAGGGGGATGTTTCTTTAAAAAAATCGTGAGCTACTGTTACGCATCCAGAAAAGAAGAAAGAAAGGGATTGGAAGCGAGGGAAGAGTTATTCTGGACAGCTTGCGGGTGGTAGACCCATTGCAAGTTGCATTTATTTTCCTTAAAAAAGGTCAGTATGTGAGGAAAAAAATCAGTAAAAAGGTTTCATAAGAGTTACAATATAATATGGTACGTGTTCTTTTTTAAATGAAAGTACTAGAGCTAAAGAGAGAAGAGAGAGAGAGAGAGAGAGAGAGAGGGGGAGAGGGGAAGAAAAATAATTATATTCATAGAAAAAGAGCGAGAGAGAGAGATGGGGGAAAGAGGGGGAGAGGGGTAGGGAGAGGAGCTGAAAGACAAAAGAAAGAGAGAGATTTTAAGGGTTGACGACGCCTGGTAACCCTCCACGCCTAAGAACGTTTGCCAACTTCCAAAAGTTGTCTATGTTTCCTTGTTGACGACGCGAAATAAAGCTAACAGTATAAGAGGGGATTCTCAAAGAGGACATTGCTCAATCTAATGCTTTACAGCGTAATAAGCTTGGACATAGGGATTAGATATGAGATGCT